AAGTATTCGGTATTCGGCCGAATGATATGTAGATATTCGGTATTCGGCCGAATATAATAAAAGCAGCCGAATATGCCGAATACCGAATAGTAACCGAATATTCGTTGCAAGTCTAATTAAAATAATATAAGTATAGCTTTTTTTAACAGACATAAATTTATTATTTTTAAGTAACGATTTTCCTTTTACACAATGCTAGCAAAGATTTAGTTGATTCACGTAGATGTATAGTATAGAAAGCAAAAGTTAGCGACTAAAAATATCGAATAATAACAGACGGTGATTTTATGTTTAGCACTAATCTTTTGCTCTGATATTAGCAAATAGAGACCCAGGTAGGAAAGCGACATTTCTTTATTTTTTACTATTTTTATTATAACTCTGCCGTGTGTCTAGTAGCCGTGGGCATACTGAAGGCCGCAGTTGGTTGGTGCAGTTGGTCCTCCCTGTATTTAAAGTAAATTTTAAACCAATATATTGTTTGCCTTTCTAAACATGGGTACATTCATGCCTCCCATATCTTACTCAGAACCCTACAAACTTACTTTCATTTATTTGCCAATATAAGGGCCGTGCGTTATAAAATCACTCTATCTATACATAATTGCCACAAAAACCTTCAAAATAAACATGTTTCTATCAATATTCATAAAAGGGTTTTTAAAAGCTCATAACCAACATGGGTATACAATTAGAGTCAGTTAACTGAAATATTTGCATAAATTACACCGTCTTAACGCATGTTCATCACTCGTTGGGCGAACCCGCCTAGAGCCATTAGACCCTATATACGTGTACGTTTAATTTCATTTCATTTACTATATCACCATGTAGTCTCAACAATGTAGGTGGTCTGAACTCATGATGTTAATGTAGGCAAAAAGTATTTCGTAATGTTAATTTTTAGAGGTAGCTCTTGACTAAGTGGGTTCCAAGTAGGTTAACACATTGCAAAGCTAAGCAATCCTAGCCAGGTCTATCTATGGATGGGTTATCATTCTTAACACATTGAGACCCCTCCGTGGCTCGGAAAGCAAGCAATTTACTATTAACATCGCTGTACACTATATCTTTTGTTAGATATTAGTATAGGAGTTTGTCTTTTATCTCGCCAAATGGAATGTGAGGATGGTATGGACATATCTAAAAGAAGCCTATTTGTTGTATTGTTCTAAATTAAATATCTTAAAAGTTTTGTTTTTTAAATAAATTATAGGTCTATTTTTTCCAAACAAAAGCTCATGACCAAGATATCTTCTCAGACAATGACGAGTATAATACTTGCAAGATTATAAATTACTGGGCAAAGTAAACCCTTTATGAGCACCTTTTTAATATGTTTGAAGTGTTACAGTTCACAGCACTGTTACTAATGTGACGCCCAGGAACTCGAGAGATACTAGTACCTACACAAAAACGATCTAATATAAAATTGAGTTTAACTAATTAAAGTAAAGAAAAATGTAAGCAATCGCACTTGCTGTCTCATCTCTAACTGCTCTTCAATACATATATTTTTTTTAGATTTCATTGATTGAAATTAACTAATACGGCGAAATCGTGAGTATTAGAGAGAGAGCTATATCAATTGATTCATTTAAGATGATGATTTACTCAAAAGTCGTGCGAGAAGCGTATACTTTAATTTACTTACTAGTTTTAAACAGCTATTAAATATAATATTTGCTTATGATAAAAGTTATTATGGTGGTTGATATATTCCAGTAGTTTTAATGACTCAATTTTATTTCAATTATACCATAAATATTATTTAAATGTATTCTGCAAAAAAAATGGTATACATATGTATTATATTTAGGTAATTAAAATGAACGATACTTCGTGATGGGATTTAGAAAATGATTATTTTCAACGAATTTAGCAAAAGACCACCCCGTTTTAGTGTTGTTCATTGGTATTGGTACTGGTTGTAGTCTCCGGTTGCCGGATTTAGACTCAAGAGTGGTCCTTTAGGCGTCGAGGAAAGATTGGCTAGGTGAGCCAACCAAGCTTCTCCCAGAAGCGCAGAAGCCTCCTGGGGCGTTCGCAGGTTTCTAGGAGCAATTTTGTATCAGGAATTATACTTGCCCGTTGTGTGGCCACTCTCTCGCATTCCAGGATTACGTGGGAGGTCGTTTCTTCTGCTTTCAGACAACCTCTGCAAAGAGGACAGTGTTGTACGTTATTCTGAACGCAGGACAATACCGCATTATCGGTCAATATTTCCATTGATCGTCTTTTTATCTTTATTTTAGTATTATACATACTTACTATTAGAGCTTTTTTTACTAAATAAAGTGTAATGAATTCAATGTTTAGATCAGAGATCAGATGGATCAAAGCTTGCAGTTTCATAGTATATTACACTAAAGTCTATTTAAACTGCCGCACGACTAACGCGAAATATTAGATGCGAATTACTGACTAAGTATAACTTGTAATGACATTTTAAACATTGTTAGCCGAGTTTAAAAAATGTAACTCGTACAAATTATAAAGAATTATGACTGGTCGTTAAAAATGAATATCATTTAATCGAACCATTCTCTTATTCAATAAAAAGTTTAATTAAAATTGCTTCAGAACACAGAAAGCTACCAAACTTACTACCGTATCATTTTCTGAAATCAGGCGACGTCTAAGAAAAAAAAACTTTATTTAACTGTAAATAGTCACAATCTCGGCTTGATGGATGAAGGTCGCAGTTTGGATACCCGCTCAGGCCACATACATGAATACATATTTGCCATTGGCCTGGGTGTTATAATCTATGGGTTAAAACTATTTAAATGTGTAGAAGTTATGCTTAGTTTAGGTCTATTTAATGATAGTATATGTTCCAGAATAATTAATCTTTTTAGACACCGATCAAAAATATTTCATTAAAGTGTTCATATTCTTTAGAGGCTGCGCACGTAGGCGGCGCACGCGCGCGCACACAATTATGTCTTAACGCGGAGGGCTCGCGACAGGTGGGAGGAGCGCTATGACGCGAACTGACGTCAATGTCAGGGGTGACGTGAAAGCATATTGTTTGTTATTTAATAGTTATTTTGTTACAATATTTACATTAGAGGATATATACCTAATACTTCTCGAACTTTAAGGTAGTCTTTAAGCTTGAACCTGGTTTTTGGGCTGTAGAAAAACAAACTTATAAGTAGATATACTTCAGCTACATGGTCAGCAATGGTTTTACGTAATGTTGAGACCTCTTTTGCTTTATACAAATAGTACCAATCTTTCGTTTTACCACTCTAATCTACCCCAGATGTTGAATATGTTTTATCCAACCAGTAAAAACCCATTATACTAGAGGAATATTTATGCATTACCAACACTATCCTAACGATAATGACAGGATAAATACAGCAATATCAAAGTTTTATGTACTCGTAGATTAAAAATAGTTTCGTTTTCAACAATAGCCTACTGCACTATAAATTTTTTACAAAAATTAATAGATGTTAAGTTGCGGACAACCCTACATCAAAGTGCAACACTAGCAATCTAGAGAAAATTCTGTTGTGTTTTACTTTGCCAGAGAAATATGATTTAATTAAAGTTATTAAAGGGATCCGAGGTTAATTGAAATTTGTTAATACAGAAAGGAAAATTAACTTGCTATTTTATAGACTCCACGTGACCTCAGGTCGAGAACCAGCCTTAGGACGTTATAAAAAAGTAATTGTTGGTTTATTTAATTTATAATTTATTTTAAATAGAGTTGATAGACCGAGGCATGATGAAGTTTAAAGAACTAATCAAGTTTGCTTAATCATTATATTTATAATCAATTTTATAAACTGGAAAAGCTGGAAAATTTTATAAAATAAAAAAAAAAACCTAATCCTTGATACATATATTTTCGTTTAAATCTTAAACATATTATATCTAATAGAGTTATCGTTCTACTAATGTGGATAAACGGTGGCGCATAGAACTAAAACAAAAATAAGATTGGCACATTTCTATCTTGTAGTTTCCTATAATCAAAGTAATCTATGCAAAAAGTAATGAAATATAATGAATCACAATTCTCAGAAGATTTCTCTATATATTTCTTAGAATTATTATTCATTATCATTTTATTTATTTCATTATTAAATTAACCTTTACAATAAATTGTTTAGTCACAGAAAGCAGCCAGCTTGTTGAACCCAAACTTAAAAATTTGGTATTTCATTAAACATGTTTCATATAACAAAAGTTTTGTAATATTACAAGCGTTTCATGTCAAATACAAAATTTCGCTTTTGATCTTGCATGGAGTCAATTTTGGGTAGATCAGCAAGTTCATGTATGTGTGTTCAGTATTTGGGTGCATTGAGAATTTTCAGAACATTAGTTCGAGACGAGGGAAGTACTCATCAGTTGAGTAAAGTACGACATATAAAACTTCAAATCTTTAGCTGTAGGATAAGACATAATCGTTTTAATCTCGCTAGCAATATTTGATCCAAACTAAGAAACATTACAAGTTAAATAAAAGCTTTTAAAAAAGAAAATTATTTACTGCAAGTACCGCTGCCAGCAACACTAACAAAAGACTGAATAGTACTCCACACGGAATGCTAATTGCGGCACCATCATCCTCAGATCCGTCGCCGCAGAGTTAAAACAAACGCTTTTATTTTTAAACTGGCGTATACTTAGAGAGATTGCTTCGACATTTTCATCAGTGCTCCGACCACAGGCTGTATTATTTTAATCGCAGTCGCCACCTAAGCGGTGTTTCCTTGTAGATTCATTTTGCGAGGATTTATAGAATCATTGCACACTCTTTGTAAAGAATATTAAGACTTTTTAATCTATTTCAAAAAGCGCGTTCTGGATTTTTTGTGTAGTATTATTGTATTGTAGACAACGTATTGCGAAACGCTATCTAAAACAATTAGACATAGCTTGCATATTTTCCAAAAAAGAACCCGTAACCCCTAATGTGATTAGGGAGAATTACTATTGCGCTATATATATATAAACTTATTCTATTTCAACAGGAGGACCTCCTCATCCACGGTGACAGTGTGTACGACGTGATAGACAAACAGGACCAGCAGGCTGTTAGATCGGAGTTGTCTCGGGCACCAACCGACGGAGAAGATAGAGTGTTCCTTTGTCGCATGAACGTAGCGAGAAATGCTAGACGTCAGATGCGGTTCGGTGATCAAAAAGTAAGTTATATTATGTACTTATTTGCTTCAGAGTAAGACTCACATTTGTATTGTTATCGTAAATTGTAACAATAAGTTTGAAGCTATTTACGACAAAAGAAAAAAATCTGTGGGTAAATAGATGGATTAAGAATACGGAGTGCCACCACCCCTATTTATCCCGTTGATGTCATAAGAGGCGACTAAGGGATAGGGAACAGTGAAAAGATAAGAAAACCTTGACACTAATCTTATACGAGTACCAACCCGTCTGGCCAGCGGTGAACTACTAAAGGCTGTTGATGATGATCATAAAACATATATGTATACTAGATTCACGGATGTAAGTTTCGGCATTTATAAGAACTCTCACTCAAAAACAGTAGGTATATCGTTTTCTTTTTTTATCCAGGCTTAGGCGTCTTTTATTATGATTAAGTTCATTAGTTCAAAGTTCGTTAATTAAACTTTTATACATTCACTATCTATATCAGGTTAATCGTGACTGAACCTTATGAAAATAAATGTATATATATTATATAATGAAAAATTATATCTATACATAAACAGTAAATGTAATTGCAACTATAATGAATATACCACCTCACAGTAATGTCTTGGAAACACCTTCTGGATGGAACAGTAGATATTAAGAATAATAGAAGCGGTAGTTATTAAAGTACTACAATTAACACACTGCATAGTAACTTACAGTAACATTACTGAATTTTGATATGAAAAATTTGCGAAGCCCAGGAATCATAATTAACTTTTTAAGTATCACCTATCTCAACCGTACGAATAGGATGATGACTAGGAATAAACTGTATTTATCATTTTAGTTATCCAACCTTACCTTAGTGGTATTTTATGTAAGAATTTCAATGGATCAAATGGGAAATTGAGCCTACCAATTAAAAAGAATTTTTCAAATCGGTTCGTAAATGACGGAATACTGACTTCACAGAGATTTAAAGAAAACTTAATGGCATTAAAAATCTACTCCTTTTTTCAAAGTCAGTTCAAAATTGGATTTTAAAATTTCTGTATCTACATGAAATCAAATATAAAAAAGGTAATAAAACGGCAATAAGCGATAAAAAATATTAAGTGATCCCGACAAGCTTTAATTATCGCTCACAGTGAGACCTCGCCTCTCACTATACAATATTATAACAGAAATCGATGAGAACATAATTAACAAGTTTACTTTCAAAATGTCTAAGTGAATATAAAATGTGTACGTATAAAGAGGTTACGGGCAGACTGACAAATTGATAGGCTTCGATACACTCAGGTTATTACACGTAATTGAATGCTCACGAGCAGGAAAGCAGACATGATTCTGTGTTAGTTTAAAGAATATTCAACCTTATATCTAACAAGATAAGAAAAAATATTATAATCCTTAGAGTTTCAATATCCTTCTAAATTTAAATTATTCGAAATGAATTTGCACAAATATTTTTCAAACACCATAATTTCATACAACGTATTTGTAGTGCTGCTTCAGCACGTCAGGGTAAGTAGAAGAGCTTTCACTCCATACTTATTTAATATTTACAAAATAAGAGGCTATGCTTTAATTCGTAGAAATATAATTCCAACCTTCCTCTAATTCTGGGGAAAGGGGTGGTTCACAATTCAAAATCAGTCTTCACTGTCGGTGGAACTATTTATTTTTTGCGTAGATATAACATATTTTTTAATGTGGAGAGCCATGCTTCGGAACAAATGGATCGGCTCGACCGGAGTGATACCACGGCCTCACAGAAAACCGGTGTTAGGTAATTTTTTCGTTGCTTTTCAACGGAGTGTACCTTTGTATTACTGATAACATCAAGTCAACAAAGAAATTTACACCAAGTCTTAGAACTCGATACATTTCTCTACCTAATATCGTATCTAATTATTTTATTTATTCAGTACCCAAAAGTCAACGTCAAAGTGAAATCGCCTTTTTAGGGTTCTGTAGCCAAAATAGCAAAAAAAGGAACCCTTATAGTTTCGTCATGTCCGTTCGTCTGTCGACACTATATCTCACCAACTATTAGTGCCCCATATCTGTAATTTCGCATAAACATACATACTAATCACGTCGCCAAAGTGGTAAAATGAAATCTTGAAATATTCTTTTTTATGGTACGTCTAGTACCTTTAAAGTGGGGATGTATTTTTTATATTCATCCATCCCATGATGTGGGTGTCGTTGGATAGGCCTTTTAAAATAATATGGGTTTGTGAAGACAATAGGGTATCGTTTATGAGCCTTAAAAGCTTAGCTGATTTTTGTTACAGTCAAGTGTCCTAGCCAAACGGCAGTACTTGGAGATCTGAAAAACGGTAGTAGCATATACAACGAATTTCAAAGGCAAACTATAAAAGCTAAGTAGGCTTTATTAGTTTACGAGTAATAGTCAATCAATTCTAAAAATCTAATTCGACGTTATAAGATACAGAAACCGTTAATGTGAAATGTTTATAATTTATAACAAAATTCCCTTGTGTTATTTATGTTAAGGTTACGTATTAGTCCGCATTATTGTAATAGGTAACTACGGAACCCTACATTGGGCGTGGCTCGATACGCGCTTGGCCAATTTTTATGTAACTGTAAATGCATTCATTTTAATTACATCAAAATACAATATCACCGCAACAATTAGTTACTTCATCCAAAAATAAAAAGTTTTATCTTAATGTTAAAGCTGAATACATATTTTTAAAACGAGTAGCTTCGGAAAATGATACAACTATTTCACTTCAATCAATCGAAATATATTTCAATTAATTACCTACTCCCATTTCACATAACTAAAAAGCCATAAAGTTAACAAGACGTTAATACTGAACCAACAACTTTATTAAAATTAATAATTCATTTTAAAGCAGCACATCACGATACAACATTTAGTTTTTTATATAAAATTAATTACACATCTATTCATTTAACCCTGCTTAACTGCTTATATCAAAGCGATTCATAGCATTCAGAGTAGACTATTTTCGTTGTAATTATATTGTAGCAATAAAACCATCTGATCATTGGTAATCGGTCTTATCTGATGGATATAACGAACTATTACTTATTACTGTTAACACTTCTCGCTCGTGAGAAAAAGACGCTATCCTCTTTGAAGACTGAGCCTCAGTTCCGCTTGTAACGGAAGCTGTTTTAGCGTATCCACTTTTTTGTTTATAGTCTTCTACAACTAATTGAGAAGGATTTATGCTTCCCTTGAGTTTGGGAAATGACTGAAAATCGAGCTCCCAGCTACCTACTGTATTGCTGTAAAAAACAAAAATGACACACAACGCCATCTAGTTTCATACTAAGCAAAACTTGTATTATGAACGTCAAATTGACTGATAGAATAATTATATACTTTTTTGTAAATACATAGAAAACACCCAAACTGAGAAACTAATACTTACAGATAACACAAACATTTGGTCTGACCCGGGAAGTAAACCCTACGAATCAGCACAGTTGCTTCAAACAAGTCCATGCATATATATAACGCCTAACTTAAAAAAAATACTTAGAACATAAATAAACAGTGACGTATTGCCGATGTATTTCAACGATTTCCACATGTTTTATTACCTATGACACCTATGTCTCTAAATAAACATGCCTATAAATTGTTGAATACTTACATGTTATACTCGTAGATACAATAGGGAATTTGCATGATTTTGAAATTTAAAACATTGAATAAATTTGAGCCGTTCAAACGCCACCATTTAGCGGGCGCTTTTGATGACGTCATTGGTTGTGTCCCGTGTTTGTTTACTATAGCGTTTCAGTTACTTCATACTTATTTTCAGCTTTATTTTTTACCCAAATCATGGAAGAAGTTAAAAAACCTTCTTACAAGTATTGTATGGTACCGAAGTGCAAAAACAATATAATCAGTACAACCGATAAAGTGTTTTTTCGTATTCCTCGCAATGCGAAAGTACGAAAAAAAATGGTGTAACATGATGAGAAGGGATAATGTATCTCCATTATGTTGTGAAGATCATTTTAACGTAAGTATGCTATATTTATGTACAGCTTAGTGTGAATTAGTTATTAAGCAGTAGTAGATTCGATCTAAAGCTAACCTAACCTAGTTTTCAAAAGTTCATTAAAAGAGCTTGATTATTCCTATTGCGGTTATAAGAAAAAAAATTTAAGACCAATTCAAATTTTATGCATAGGTATTCCATATTACATATTCCCTATTATATAACAGCCATAGAAAAAATGAAACAGCGGTCATCACACAATATTTGCCCTGGGTCATGACTTTTGGGCTAGCAGCCAGGATCGCTAACTACTAGACCAATAGTCCCAACAAAGTCTAATTTAATAATCAGGCTCTTCATCATAATATTTGTATTTTTTGCAAGTATTAAATTTCATACAATCACCTCTCCAGCAGATCAATTAATTAAATTAAAATATAAAAACAGTGAGCTGCTTTTATATAATATTATATGTAGTATAATATTTTATTTTATTATTTCAAACTTCTTGGTGCTGAGTTTACAATAACAATTTTAGTTGTTGGTAACAAATAATAAATAACGATGAAATGAAATACACGGTTGTATTTAAAATATGCAGCATGTAAATCTTTCAACATTGCAACTGTATATTATATATATGTTACAAATAAACTTAGCAATAAATAAAGATTATTTCGACTCCGACACCCACAGTACAAATGGTTACTAAAATACTTGATAATAACAAATGCGAACTATCTGTATGGACGTTGTAGGCAATTAATATGGCGCACGTGCGTTGTGAGAACTATTTGTTAGAGCATGTTCTTAAGTGTTTGGTTTGATCTAGAAATGTAGATTTATCTATCTTATTGGTAATGTTTGTCAGGAGTGTTAGTTATATGGTGTGACAGGGGCCTAAAGGCACTCGTACACCAAGCTCTTTCTTGATGATGACGAAATTGTGACTGAGCAGATCGGTTCTTGTACAACGGAATAGAGTGTTACCGCGTTTAATAGAATAACTTTATGGCGAGAAATGTGCTATATAAATAACTGCTAATAAATAACTACGAATTTATATACTCCTTTATCTCTCAGAAAGTAAAAAAACAACTAATTAGATCAGTCAACTCAAAATTTCATTTATAATAAGTAGTAAATTAATTTAAATTTTCAATAAGTTTAGTTTTACAATCACATATTTTTTTATTCATACTTGTTAAATGGTACAACCAAAAGTATTTATTACAAACACTAAACATAATTTGAAATATGCTTTGGACTCTTACTAATCTAAAACATATTTCTAATACTATCTGTAGGCCCTAGACTCCAACAGTACTACCTAAGGTAATCCAAAGGTATATCTATATAATATATACCTACTTAATACATATTATGAATTTTTCACTTCATTAATTCAACCACCATTTTGACCACCGGATTCGGTCCAAAAGAAGGCGTGACATTGATAATATTTTCTGTAGTAGAATGTATGCTTACCTTGCTTTTGTTATACACCCCGAGGCCTAAGTGTACATCGATTACTGAATGCATATTATTGTGTGGCCATAAACTAGAAGAAATAATGGCGTCAAGATTTGAAATATTATATTATTATAGGAGTTTGATTTTATAGATGAGTTTGATTAGTGCCAATATATGGACAAATGTTCGCCGAGGGTTCTATGGGCAAACAGACTGGTATGTAGAAAGTTTATCTATATCGTGAATGGATCCTCAAATTTTTTTTACCTATTTTTACATATTTTTTTTTTTGATACATTTAATTGATTAAGTACAAATAATGTACGCGGTTACAGCGTACGTAACAGTCAATTGAGTCATCGTTCAAAGTAGCAAAGTCATTCGTAATGTAATTATAGGATAAAACAATAAATTAACTATATTCGTATTTTTTATCTTATTTATGCTGTTAGTTATAAAACTGTGCTGATGAAGTTATTGCCTAGACTAACTGGACTTTTTTAAATTTGACGCCTCTACGCCTTCTTGGAAAGGACAGACAACAAACAATAAAATAATCCTATAAGGAACCCTATAGGATCCTCCTTCCTGTAATTTCTTGTTACTCTTTGTATAAATATATAGCGAGATATATATCCATTGCAGAGTAACAAAAAGATATGAAAATTTGCAAGGACGTCTACTACTACCTACCTATTATAATCGATCTTTACATACCTATTTAATGGATTTTTAATTGAATGAATGTTTGACCAACCGAAAATGGAAAAAAAAGTGCACCTTCATCTGATCATCATTACTTAGTGTCTTAGTCCAATCTATTGCTCAATATGACATTATATTTTATTTATTTTCATTCACATCCAAACTACTTTTATTTACATACATAATTTCATTACTACAACAGTTAGGAGTAGGTTAAGATGAACTTCCAAGATTTGTTTACACACTTATTCAGTTAGTTAGAAATTACTCTAATAAAAGCATAATATTGAAAATAGTTTTTGGTAGTTTTCCTTGCCGTATGCCTTGCTGAATTCTCATAGAGATACACTGGTCATATTAATTTTCTCAGCACATTCAGCTTCTTTTTCATCTCTCAAGTAAGTTTTGTACAACATCCTTATATATTAACATTTTTATTGTGTTATTTTATTAGTTTAGTTGGCGCGCCTCTTGAGGTAGCAACGCAAACTATCATTCTGCATATACAGTTACTGTATAAAAGATTTACCATCGACTACAATACCTCTATTAAAACTTCATATAAAATTATGTTATTTTACACTAGCAAGTAATTGTAACATAATTATTTTATTATTCATATTCCTTGACGTCATTGCTTTCAATAACTTGGTATTAGTTATATTTCTTAAGAAACGTTCAGATTTAAATTACTATTATTTAGTGCCTTATTATCATTGAAATTGTATTATTGTATTTGTTTCCTAACACGCGTTGAAAATGTCTTTTGACTGGTATTGTATTGTAAGAAATAGATCACACGGTATTATTGACTTACTAGTTAAGAGTCAGGATAAATTTATTTTGATTTATTTCTTCCCTGGAAATTTTAGAATTGAAAAGTGCAATATATTGTATTTAAAAGCAGAAGAAATGGCCGCCCACGTTATCCTGGAATGCGAGGGAGTGGCCACACAATGGGCAAGTACCATACCTGGTACAAAATCGCTCCTAGAAGCCTGTGAACGCACCAGGAGGCTTCTGCGCTTCTAGAGGGACCTCACCAAGCGTACCTCTTCTATACGAATAAAGGACCACTCTCGAGTCTAAATGCGGCAATCGGAGCTCACAACCAATACCAATTATATTTAAAAATTATCTATAATTATTTGAAAAAGTAAATAATAACTGTTATATTATTTTTAGTATATAGTGAAATTTTCTGTAAACAAATACAAGCAGCAATTTATATAGGGGTAATTCATGTAACTTACTCAATAAACTACACCTACGGATTTTTTGTGAGACAGAGCTTTTGATTTTTTAGATTTTTTTATCCGGTTTTTCTATAAATAGACATCGATGTACTCTTAGTCTAAGCGAGTCCAAAGTCCAAGTCTAAGTAATCCAACATATAAATGTCAGTAGTCAGATTACCACACAAAATGCTTAACAGCCCTTAAGATGTATTAAGAAATGAAGATAATGGCAAAATAACAATGAAACGTTGTATCATAAAATATACTTTCAAATCAAGTAACAAACCACAATTTATTTCACAGATACCACTAAACAATACCAGAAATCCATTTTAATAAACCGCCTACTTTACTACAGCTTAGATAAATAGTTAGACTTGCCATTTAGCTCGGCCACTTTACTGGACCGATATCCCAAGTTAATGGTATCAGTTGATGAAGTTAAGAAGAACGGTCACTAATGAGGCTTATCGAGCCAGCGGCGCGATGACACGGCCGATGCCTGCGTACGCGCAACACACAGCCTTGTTAGCGGACAGGTAGGGACGTAGGCTGCTTTGATTCGAGGAATTAAAGTAGAAAATGTTAATTGATTGGATTGATAATGTGACTGCTTGTTGTAATACTGCTTTAAGGGTATATTACTAATTGCTATTTACTGTATTTGTAAAAAAAAAGTACTTTACTGTAGTCTTTTTCCCTAACCATATAATACTGGAGTGATGAATAAATATTATTTTGTGTAACATTATTACGTATGTCAGAAAATAAATACAACCTGCAAACTTTAGATATGTTTTAATAATGTCACATAAAATTACCCAAAATATTCGCGACTTCATTTCCTGCGAATAAAAATAATAATTTTAAAACGAAATGATTGAGCCTTGATTTCTTTTACTGACCAAAAATGAGACCTTATAATAATTTTATAATACTGAATAGAGCTAAAAAAATGACCATACCAATCTTTTATATCGCCTCGCACTTTTGTTGGGGAAATTTTTGTTTATATGTAATAACAATGTTATGTGTTATTAAATATAAAAAGTATTTATATTTAATAACTTTTCATAAAGAGTCACAAAGTACGTATTAAAGTAATTTTTTTATCATTTTGTTACCGAACGGGTCATTCCCTCACCGGAGCACGATCATGTCGGGATCGAATTGACTCAAGTCGCACGGTGGTATATCACAATTTTATCTTATAATAATAGGAAGCTACAAATACGATAAGAAATGAAATACATTTTTAGTCACTTGAGGCTTAACTTTTTATTATTTTATCAGGATCATCAACAATAGTTCTATTTTTGTCAGCTTCATTTTCAACTTGGTATTCATAAATTGTTTCTTCAACATCACTGTCCATAGAAGCAACACTTAACAGGTCAATTAATTCTTCGCCATCTTTATGACGGCCACTAGCTTTCTTATAAGTCAAAAGCAGAATACGACAAAAGGTCACCAGCAGGGTTCCTAATAATGTCATCAAGACCGCCCATAATATAGAATCGATTGCAGTCCATTCATTGTCATATTTAAACTCTTTATCTTTTAATAGCTTATTGCGGACTATAATTTGGTGGTTTTGAAAATAAGTAGTATTCGTCAAGGTGTTATTCATACTTTTGGCTAGGTTATTGAATACTGCTTTTCCAAGCCAATCAGCCAAATCAATTCTGCCTATTTGACGTAATCTGTGTTCGACCTCCATGTGAGTTTTTCTTTTCCCTTCCCATTTCTTTTGGCCAGTATTCCATCTTAACAGCAGTTTGATGCATGGGATATCTCTAGGAACCTTTTTTTCTGCGTTGTTTACAGTTGATGGAAGATCGTAGGTTATGAAATGTAAAGACGCAAATAATCGATGACATTCTTCAGAAGTTAAATGATCAGATAGATAAACAAATTCTGGTAACGTTATGTCTATTGTACATTCTTTGTAAGATATTAAGCTACATAAAATAAGTAATAAATATTTCATGGTTGAAGTTGACAGTCGTGTCAAGTGACTGATTATTTTGTGGCCATAGATAGTTACAAAAAGTTCAATAGCTGTTGAACTTCTTGCATCCATCTATACCATACACCTAATTATTAAAAGCAAAACATTAAATTTAGTTTAGTAAGTTTTGGTAATCAATAGTACTAATTCTGTTTTTCGAAAACTCTTCAAACTAAACTAAAAATAATTAAAATTTTGTTTAGTCCTGTCAAACGCCGTTTCGTATTCTGTAAACGTAGGACCAAACTTTATTTAGTTTGACACAACCAAAATGAGTCAAGTTACTCAGATTAGTCCATATTTACTCATTTGGTATTCTGTTGTACGTTTTAAACTTCAAAGATTGACTAAAATTAGAAATGTAAATATAAATTATCGTGTCAGTTTTACCTGCATTATTAAAACGCATAAATAAAATACACTTAAAATATATTTAAGACAATTCCAATCCATTGGAGATGGTTGAGATGTTATAAAATAGATATGTGACCTCATGTTTACTTGCACGAATAAATTATAGTTAAAAATAAACTAAAAAATACGCTTTTGTAACTAGCCGAACTAAAAAGTAGAAAATAATTTTCTATACTTAAGTTCAAAAAGAAAAATCATTTTATCGTATATAGAGTGGGGTGCTAGATCTCAATTATTTGAAGTTATTCTAAAAACCTTAAAATATAGCTTTATAGAATGTTATTAATTCACGCTATTTCATTCACTCTTAATTTATAAACAGCGGTAACAATTTCCTATAACTGTTAGTGATTTCTGATTAAAATTCAATGCTGTCATAATGAACACTAAATTAACTCGACTTTACAACAGACTAGTATTTTGGAAATCACACACAACAGAATGAGCCAAGTTTTAGTTTCAATATTTTTATTATTCAATTTTCGTCTAATCAACGACTTTTATTTCTCCGATTGCTATATATATCTTTATTGCGATGTCTAATAATGTATAACAATGTTAGGATAAATACGATATAAGCATTTCCCCAGAACAGCTGGCATTAGTAGACTAAATGCGTTTTGCGCAAGCGGTTAATGGAAGTCAGTGCTCACGATACCTACTCACAGTAACCTTAGAGTATAGTATTTGAAGTGGATTAATATTTCTTAAACACCTTAAATCCGTTCAGTTTAAAGATCTTTAATCATAGTTAAACGACATGGTTCCATTAAAATTTTAGTGCAATCTGGTCTTAAATGTTTGAAATATCTTTAGCTATATTATTTGCATATATGTGAACGCCATTCATAGTGAAAACGAGAAGTTGATTTTGACCGAGCAAAACTGAATCTTTTTATAAGACGAGGTTAAGTATTTTTTATGTATGTTTCTAAATAATGTAGGTATGTTTTTCTATAATGTATGTATCTTTTTATATAATGCATGAAAATGCTACTAATGACATTTATGTCCATGGAATTCTATCCGAAACAACATCAATAATGGCCTACTTATAATACACATTTACATAGAATATCATCAAATCGGTACTCTCAAATGTCATTAGACATTAAACAATACAGTTGTAATATTGTCTGCAATTGCAAGAAATATGCTTAGAACTGATCAGAGCCATTATTATGATGCAGAATAAGGTTAGAACAGTGGAACAGATCAATAGCGTCAGCAATGACATATCGAGCAAAACGAGCGAGTTGTGATATAGAAATAATTTAGAGAATATTTCTGCTCTAACTTTATCAATTAATTGTATCTTATAAAAGTATGGACACAGTGAATGATCATGTGTTTATGTTTCTTGCAGCTTTAGCCACCTGTTGAACATGCATAATACTTTGTTCTGACCTTACATTGTAATGCAATGCAATTCGTTGCAGTGCTCTTTAACATTGTAGTAGGTATCTTAAAATAAATGCAAACTGTGAATACAGGCCATATTCACGGTGTATTTTAATTTTAAGAAATCGTCATTACCTTCCTACCCATATTCCAATTACTACTTAATAACTAAATAAACTGTCAAAATCTGAAAAGAAAAGCTTTTAGTTGATTTTTCTAGGGTTAGATTTAACAGTACTGGGTAAGCAAGGAATGAGGAATTCCTTCCTAGAATAACAAGCGTTACTGCTAACCATTAATTGAGCCGCCTTTTTAAAAATATATATTATTACTAAGCTTATTCTAATAAATCTCCAGTGTATTTTGCTGCAGACCGTATTTCTAAGAGTATACATTTTAACTGGAGTTGCACAAGGGTCTTTTGTCATTGTATAATGATGAACCGAGCTGATGTTTTGTATATCGGAATGTGCTACGATTATTGTGGGTAGTGAACATACATATGTGTGCTTATGTTTAAACACTATTAACACAATGACCAACATTCTGTGACACTCAATAGAAAAATGGCCAGTGATATTTTAAACCGATATAAGCATAGTTTGTTACTCAGCATTTGTTTGTGATTCTGCTGTTTTGCAAATATATAATGAAATATTTTCGAATGTCAATACATGTCTAGTACATCATACAAACGCCTGTTTCATAAGTGCACGCAGCCTCGAAGGTTGTATAGACCGGCCTTCGTAATTAAAGAAGACGTATCACAATTACCGTAGTTTATAGATGCCTCTAATTATATGTATTTGATGTTTTCTATACGGACTGTGACGAAAGAAACCTCATTCGAACGGTCATTATTGGAATTAATATACCTACGTGTCAGATCGAAAGGTTTCGTGTAATGATGGCCACTCGATTTTTATAGTGTCCGTGAGAACATACAAATGATATGTCTCTGTATGTGAACTTTTTGCCTAATATACTCAATGATCATTCATATGAATTTCTTTGTAATTGATACGCTTGCTAATGTGAATAGAATGGAACAATTTGTAGGCAATTATTGGTAATAATAAATCGCGGTGTCAGACATTTTAGTGACCTCCGATGCCTTTTAGTGTGGCTGCTATTCGATTTTGATTTGTTACCTTCCTTTAATCCACTTCGATGGACTCAAAATAGGCTGTGAGTATCATCACTCTGTTTAGAGTGATGGTAAATAATAGTACTTATATACTTTTTGATGATGAGGTGTTGTGAGTTGTGTGGAGTATTGATGCTCCGACTCACTTTGCTCTCGAATAATACTTTGGTGGTAAACAGCGATCTTCTTCCTTGTATTAAATAAGAGTATTTATGTTATAATAAGTCAGTTTTAATTGTGAAATGCAATTCAGTTTTAATTGGTGAGTATGGCGGATGAGGGAGAGCTTCCAACCCCAGCTCTTGCAGCTTGGAGACTGTCTGTTGCGCAGTATGGGGTCGCGCGTTGTCGTGATGGAGCAGTGGGCACGACCGATTGACCAAAGCTGGTTGCAGATGTGCAAGCTTCTCCATCATTCTCTCCAGTTCTTCACAGTACACATCTGCATTAATGCTTAGTGGGTAAAAAATTAAATTCCCGAGAGGCAGTGCAAAATGCCTTTAAAGAGTTTGTTGCCACCCGTCCAGCAGATTTTTACAAGAAGGGCATCAATAAACTGCCAATGCGTTGGCAAAGATGCGTCAATTGCATGGGTGATTACTTCGAATAACAAAAATAAAAAAGTTTGAAAACATAAGTACTTTCATTTATTGCATACAAAACGGCAATTTTATAGGTAAAGACCTAATTTGTAATAAATAATTGCATATTTTATTTCTTTTTTTTTTAGAATATTGAGAAAATGTTTTTAAAATTCTCTTAACTTTAACTTCTTGACACGTTAAGTAATTACTTAATTGTGTAGGTACTTACACTTTAAGATAATTGATATTAATTGATAATTATAAATTTAAAAATAAAAATTTACATAGATATTTTGAAGATCGATACAGAGCTCATTATTTTTTTGAAAACCTGTTTTGAATTACAACATAGATTTAAAAAAAGTATTTAATTCGCGAGTATTTAATTCGCGAAGAAGAAAGTTAGAAAATACTTTCAGATATTAAATCAAATATTTTTTAACCCTTAGTATGTGAGAATAATATTTTGTTTAAGTTATAAGCTTGTTGGAATGCGCTTTTCACATATTTTTTTTCTAAAAAGTAAATTAAGTACAAACTTAAAATAAGGAAGAGTATACACCAATGATTGCAATTATAAATTATGCAAATCCTAACTCAACGTACGTATAAGTGAAACCAAAGAGTTGGTACATTAAATTACAGTGATTTTTGCCAATTAAAACAGCTCACAATATAACGCAAATGAACTTTGAACCGCTTCTGAGCGAATTCAAATTACAGTGTAAATTAATTTTCAAAATTATAGCGTCTATATGAACCCAATCAATATAGAAAGTTAAGTGTGCAGTTGTTTAAATTATGTCAGTGTGTCACAAGACTGTGTATAGTGTTTTTTTCGTTTTATGTACTTGCCATAGTTACAGCGAGGAAACACAGGATACCGTAAGATGCTTTCAAACGTTTATAATGCATCTATTTTATGTCTGTCGAGTTTTTTGTTTCTACCTATTTTTAATTGACGTCAAAAAGGAGGCTGTTTTCAATTGGTCGTTTTATGTTAGAACTCAATTATTTTTCAATCGACTTAGGATTGTTACAAATTTTTGACCAAACGGAAGTGCCCCTTTACTTACCATTTGGTCCAAAAGTACCACCTCTAAGGGTGAAAAATAATGGATGAAGGGAACAGTTTATTACAATTCATTATAATATAGGCGCTCTGACGTCGATGATACTTTGTAAACAGTTAATAGTGATAGTTAATATTCTACGAATGTTTACACCGTTGACATTATTAAACTATAATAAATACATTCATAAACTGAATGACAAATTCATGAACAGGTGTAAGAGTAATTATACGAATATTGCTTGACGTTTTTCGTACCACCTGTCAGATGAATGACAAATTTAAATAAAGTATAGTTTCAAACTATAGGTAGGTACATAAATTATTATTGTAGATTATTTATTTATAGTGTAGTGTCCTA